AGAAAGAAGAACACTATTATAAAGTTTCAACTCTCTTTATCAACTTTTTTCAAAAGATGAGATTTATGAGACATACAAACAAACAAACGGTTAAGCAAATGTGACTTCTCGGTCAGTAGAGTTGAAACTTTATAAAGTATAACTCTTTATCATCTTTATCAACAGTAGAGTTGAAACTTTATACACAGATCTGAAAAAGAAAGGATTACAAACAAACGGTATAAAATATCAAATTATGATATCTGGTTTTAAATTATAAGACGTACCTGAATGAATTGGGTCCATAGTTTGAAAGTTGAAACTTACAGAAGAAGAATGCTTGACCAGAATATCGACGCAAAGTTGAACAGTAGAGTTTGAAAGTTGAAAGCACGAGAGGTTTGAAAGAAAAAAAATTATTTATAAACTTATCCCTAATATTTGATTAAATTATAAGTTATATCTTATACAATATTAAGATTTATAAATTAGTCTCTAAAATTATACCTAAATTCATTATAGTCCAAAATTTAATGGATATTTAGTGGGCGAGTGGATGTGGGGTGGGCGGATGCGGGGCAAATAAGGTTTCAAACCCATTACCCGTCCACTACCCGCGATGGGTACCACTTTCTAAATCTACACCCGCCCACTACCCACTAAAGTTATACCCATCCCCGCCCCAATTGAAACGGGTACGGTGCGGAATTCACGAAATTGTATCCGGTTGCCATCCTTGACGGGTATAGTCAACAGAATAACCATTGAAAGCGATAACATAAAAACGAAATAACAATATAACCAGTTGCATTTGCTTTGCATCGAATCATCCTCAAGAGAATGTCGATGGCTAAAAAGATTATTAACCTTGACGAGCAATAATAGAATCCCAGAAACAGTCGTATATGACCCATAAAAACAAGCAATAAACACCATGGAAAAGTAAACTCAGGCCAAACATACCTAAAGGAAATATGATAAGTTAATAAAATTCGAGGGTTCTGCTACATGGATCCAACGATTTATGGAGCATATGACCAAACAGTATCCAGTATCCACCAATATACGAATCCCCTAATAGCCAGACTAAGCTAGTGATGGAAAACTACAGAAAAACCTAGAGTATTGCCTCCAGTCAGCCGGAGATATAAACCCCATAACCCTATCTACGGCTAGAGAACACCAAAACCCCAAAGGCACGATGTACTCACCTCCACAAAGAAAATGATCTGCAGCCAATAGCTTACGATGCCATGTCACCATAACCCTCAGGAGTCAGGACGCTCAAAATTATTTGAAGCAGCAAAAGGAGCTCCAAACTCAGATCATGGGCTCCATCGTTATCAGAACGAAACAATTTAGATCTTGATATGATAGAGAGTAAAAAGTAACAAAAACACTAAAATGGAAATCATGAGAAAGCACTTTAAAATCGTGAAATCATGAATCAGACCAGATATTGTTTTAACAAAGAATAAAAAATGACTAAAAACAAAACTGGAAATCATGAAAAACACTCTGAAATCGTGAAAACGTGGAAACCATGACCGATGATAGAATCCCTGCATCGTATCGTCTCAAAACCGGCGACGATGTCCATAGAAAATCTCCTCCCAAGCGTAGAGGCAGTGGGCGGCGTTGAGAGAGATTTCCAGAGAAAAAGCGAAGGAGAGGATTTCAGAGAGTTTTCCAGAGAAAAAGCAAAAGAGACTACCAGTAATACTACTTTACTTTAAAAAGTTAAAATAATAATAAAATATATTTTTAAAAGTTTAGATAAAGAATAAAATATATATTATTAAATAAAAATAAAAATAAAATATTTTTAAATTAATTTAATAAAAAATATATTTAATGATTTAATATAAAAAATATTTTTAAAATTAATATATATAAAATATTATGAATTTAAATTAAATATTTATACACAACCAAGTTAGAGTTAAAATGAAAATGTCCCACGACGATCAGTGTAAGCAATGCCGAAATAAGACTGAATCTCGTACTAACATTTTGAGAGGTTGTAACATAGCTAAAATCGTTTGGAGAAATCTGAGGACACATCTGAAAGATGGACATTTCGAGTCTATGAATTTTCACGACTGGTTGGGAAGCAATTGTAGGGCGATAAAATTTGTGACAATGGAACAACTTGAGGCACCATATTCTCAACGACGACTTGGGGTCTTTACAAAAGTAGGAGTGATGAGGTTTTCAACAACAAAATCAGAAATCCAGACATCATTATTCATCACAGTCGCAAACTAGCAGAAGATATACAGAAAGCAATGGAAATCTCTCATACAAGGATTTCCAGAGAACCATCCTAGGTAAAGTGGACGAAACTTCCAGTAGGAACATGGATTCTCAACACGGACGGCGCTTGTAGAGGGACATCAAAACTAGCTACTGCCGGGAGCTTAATTCGGGACAAAAATGGCGGATGGAAAGGGGGTTTCATGATGCAAATAGGAATCTCCAATTGTGCAACCCCTGAAATTTGGGGGGTCAGGCAAGGGCTCCTTCTAGCGAAACCGTTGGGAGTCGAGAGATTAATCGCCGAAGTGGATTGTGGCGACGCTGAGGAAAGAAATCACAGAGAATTATCAAAATGAAATATTATTTACGGATTGTGAGAAGCTATGTAAAGTAGGATGGGTCTCCGACATCAGATATACCTGGCGTGAAGGGAATAAATGTGCCAATCGCCTCGCCAAAACGGCCCTTGAACATGAGGAAGTAACCCATTGGTTGTAAAACCCTCCAGAGGAAAGAGTCACCTTGAAGATTGTAGTACTCGAACAATCAATATCTTTACTTTTAAAAGATGATGTACCAAATATGGCTTTTTTTTTTCAATAACGCAGTCGGAAAAAAATTATTCAAATAGGATACTCTTGAAATTATTTTTTTAAATAGGATTATTGTTATGTACACCCTAAAGATGCATTGTAATTCATGCGACTCTAATATAAATTTAGAAAAAATACATAGAGTTAAATGCGTCTCTTATATTTGTTTTTTCATATTTTATTTTTCATTTAAGTTTTAATCATTAGATACAAAATTTGGAAGGCTAAAATTAGGGGGAGGGGGGAGAGACGCATTGTGATTCGGGGAGGGGTAGTCACATGGTGTTCCATGCGACCTTGGGGAGACGCAGGGAGCCTAGTGCGACTTCGATGTGCACTATAGCATTTACCCTATTCGAGCAATAATCTCTCGAATGCCTTATTCAAACAAATTTTTTTTGACTGCAATATTACAAAAAATCACCATACCATATATATATATATATATATATATATATATATATTCACTAGGTTGTCTATTTTAGACCAAATATTGGTATTGGCTCAGGTACATGCTTGGTTTTTCAAGAGATCCACGTTCAAATCCATGTAGGCCTAATTCGCTTTGCTTTGCTTTGTTTTCTTTAAAGAAGAAGGTGAAACGTGTTGCCCTTTGATTGGTGGAAAATAAATATATTAAATTTATTTTAATTTATTAAAAATGAGACTAAATTGAAAGAATATGTAAATAACAGAGATCAAATATGTGATTATATTGAAATACCATGTCACCTAATCTGTTAATTGTTAACGAAAGCTAACTCGTGATGACCACATCTTAATTAAATATAAAAAAATGAATATATCTTAACTAAATAAAAATGAAATTACCATATATTATGTTTTTTAAATCAGTAAGAAAATGTTGACAAAATACAAATATAAGTGATTAATCATATAGTTGACCCTAAAAAGTATTATAATTTTTTTTATTAAGCTAAGGTGATTAAAATATAGTATTTGTTCTAAATACTCTCAATCATTTAACAAAGAATGCTCAATTAACTAAGTCTGTAAATGAACTGAATGTTCAGCGAACCATTCATGAACCGTGCGGCGGGAAGTTTGTTTATTTATTAAATGAGCGAACATGAACAAGATTTTCCGTTCGTTTAATTAAATGAACGAACACGAACAAAGGGCTCGTTCGTTCATTTACGTTCGTGAACGTTCGATTATATGTTCATTTATTTTCATTCATTTATGTTCATTTATCATTTATGTTCGTTCCATTTATGTTCGAACAAAGGGCAAGTTGAATATGTTACGAAGATTATTGAAGTTGTTTGGATTTCAAGAATATTATTTTGTTGAACAAATTAACTTTAAGACTTTATTATGTTCATATAGCTTATTTATGATTTATGTATGTTTTTTTCGTATTCGAATAAATTAACTCTAAAGTTGCAGGTTATATTAATGAATTTTAAGTTGTTATTCTTGTTGTTTATTTTTTTTGCATTCATTTGTTGTGTTCGAATAAGTTTGTTTTTTGTGTTTGTGTTGTTCATTTATGTTCGTTTATTGTGTTCGTTTATGTTCATTTATTATGTTCGTTTATGTTCGTTCGTTACTATTCGTTTACGTTCGTTTATGTTAAATATCATTTAAATGAACGAACATGAACAAGCTATATTCCTTAATGAACGAACATGAACAAAAAAAATTGTTCGTTTATGTTCGTGTTCGTTTATGTTCGTTTATTTATTAAATGAACGAACATGAATATACCTCCGTTCGTGTGCGTTTGGTTCATTTACATGCCTACAATTAACTCCTACAATAGTTAGTACTGAAACTTATGACCTCTAGGAATAACAATGATTCTTTCAACTACTGAGATCTATCGGTTTGTGTGTATTATTGAAAAATTATTAATTATGTTTTTATAAAAATGTTTATGAAGGACTTAAGTCTCTGCCTGTAAAAAAGTACAAAATAAAATTACTTTATCCGACTATTAAAAAACCAAACTAAATCAAGTTGAATTATCATAGATAGTTGAAAAAGGTAGACCAGCCTTACCAAATTTTCCAGAAGTAACAAATTCCTGAATTCTAGATTTAAATGTACATAAACCGGGGCATAACCGCAAAAAGTCACGCCTTAAAATGAATAAAATCCGTGGCAATTATGTCCTTAGATTTACAACACCATACACTACGAGAGGAGTTTTACCAGCCAAAGGCATTGTTTTTAAGCCCACAATAGCATGAATCCTGATAACAAGAGGGTTCCATTGGAAGAGAAGCAATATTGGAGCCTAAATCCTCCATCATCTGTACTGTAATCTGGGTTGATCCCACTTCCGGACGGACTCAACCCGTTGCCCACTCCTCCCAGCATTCCGGTAGGTGTTGTTGAACCGTACGGTGTCGGATTGTTATTGATTGGGTTGACGTTTGGTGTGGTGGTTGACGGCGTAGTTTTTGGTGTTGTGGTAGTGCTTGCGGCACTGATCAAGGGGCAATGCATAGCTCAAAATCATACAATATACATTCATCAATATGCAGGAAACATTGGCATGATGAAAACAAACACCGTATGAAATTTTAGGATAAACTACATATTTATTCACTCATTTATTCTCACAGTTTTATTTTGGTCACCCTCAATTATTTTATTTTTCAAAATTATACCTAACATTAAGTTTCAGTTCCGTTTTAGTTACTGTCATTAAAAAATCAACGTTGATATTGACGTGTCACCATAAAATAATATCACATCATCATTAAATAAAAAAATAAAAAAAATTATCACATTAATAGTTATGTTTCTAAAATAGAACTAAACGTAACAAAAGATATGACCAAAATGAAATTCTAAGAATGAGTGGATATTAATGATGATCGAACTGAGATTCTAATTAAACGGATTAAAACGGAGCGTCTACATAGCATAAAGCAATAAGAGCTCCAACGCCACTTACACTATTAATTACCTTTTTTTTTCTTTTTGTTCAAACCTAAGTTATTGCTTATAGGTACCAACTTCTCTGGTAAAGCTTTTGAGACTATAGATTCGAATGTGGACCAACAAATATAAATGTTTCATGCCCCACCCATCCAACTTTCCTACCGTTGCTCCATTCGCCCCCAAAACTATCTTTCATAAATGTTTGGGTAAATTACAGTTTTAGTACCTATACTATTACTTTTACTTTTTAAATCATACATAATTTTAATTTAAGTCTCAATTTGATACCCACCATTTGAAAATTAACAAAACTGTTGAAATGACATATTTCATTTTCTTTTCAACGATGAGATGACATTACTTTATGATGACACGTCAACATCATTGTTAACTTTTTAACGGTAAGTTACCAAAAGAAAACCTAAACTAAAAGTTAAACTAAAGAAAAAAAAAATTGGTACCAAATTGAAATAAAAGTAACAGATTATGTACTAAACATGTAGTTTACCCTAAATGATTTTAACACTTGGATCATCGGAGAGAGAAAACCCGAATGAGTGATGTTTAGAACATACCTTGCAGTAGCCGCGAAAGGACAACCAGCATAGCCTGCAACAAATACATAAAATTAGTAAAAAGTTTTGGGTTTTTCTTAACCACGGTAAAAAGGTAAAAGAGGAAAGGGAATGAGTTACTAGGGTCGGAAGTAGTGAGAGTGGCAGTGGAAGCAAAGTCACAGGTGCCTTGAGCTTGGCCTTTCCTCTGGAAGAAACTGTTGACAGAATAATTACAGTGTGCCCTAACGGTGTCGGGGTTGAAACAAGGACCCTTCATGTGTATGGGGTTACAGTCTGCCCCTTCTCCACATGCATAGTCCAATGTCTTCTGCAACACTGTATCGCTCACCCCATCTTTGCATATACACCATGTCCCACCTGCTCATTTCCAACTATTTCATTAATTCAAGCTCCTTATCCCACTTTTTTTGAGCAATTATAAGGTGATTTTTTTCAAAATTTTCTTAATCAATTGATAAGCACATATTCCGTAAACGCAAGTGTTTCTTGACTAATGAAGTAGACAACAATCCTAGAGGGCGGTCGGAAAGTAGTTCTAATAGTGACTATGGAAACTCATTATCATTGTTCTGAAAATAAGACCGGACCGGCCGGTTCAACCGGTTTAACCGGGAACCGTTGTCTAGTCCGGTTCAATCTACACCGGTTGAACCGTTATTAGTGACCCGGTTGAAATCACTAAACCGTTCAAACCGAACCGTCTGAAAACCAGAAAAAACCGGAAAAAACCAGAAAAATAAAAAAAACCGCCATTTGTTTTTTAAAAAAAATTAAACTAAACAACGTCGTTTGTTAAACGAGCCAAGCCGAACTCGAGTATTGCTAAACTCGACTCGAACTTGAAAACTTTAAAAGTAAGCTCAACTCAACTCAAACTCACGAGCTAAAAATTATCAAGTTCAACTCGAACTCGAAATATAATATTGAAACTTGAACTCGAAAAGGCTTGAACTTAAAAAAAATTAGAAGCTCGATTGAAGCCTAAAATTCGAACTTTATTGATATAAAATAATAGTTTACTCAATGCTCACCAAAAGTCTCCATGATTTTGAATGCCAAATTACATCTATTATTTATAGAAATTAGTTTGGATGTTCTTCTATGTTTCTTAGCCACGTTTTTAAAAAATTAAACTAAACAATATTATTTTATTATGATTTTTTAGCCCAAATTATTTTTAATTATAGTTATATAATTATTTATTATTTAATATGTTTTACCTAAATTCTTATGTTGTAGTTAATTTGAATCATTTTTTCACTTGATTTTATGATTTTAACTTATATATGTTTGTTGTTTTGAATATAACTTGTGACATAAAAAATTATTTTTATTAAATATTTTTTGATATTTTTATTTAATTTTTTAAATAATTATGACGTCGTCTGATTCTTCCGATCGATCAGATCGATTCGACCGGTTAAATCAGTAAATTAGTAACATGACCGATTCGTTAATCGATCCGATTCTAAAAAGAAAACACATTAACTTCTTAGAAAAAAGGAAAGAAAGGAAGTTTAATACAGATTAAAAAGAAACAAAGAAAGAAATCTGGGAAAGCATGGAAATTTAAATAGTGAAATATTAAATAAGGGTATTTAAGCAACCACTTTATTTGAAAAAGAAAGAGAACAGTAACAGATAATGAAACGCAAAATCCAAAAGAAAAAGGGAGATTACAAGATCTACAAACAGAGAAAACAAATTGTCTTTTTTGCAGGGAAAAAAGAAAGTAAAAAGGCATACTTGAGTGCCAGTCATGGCGGCCAGAAGGAGCAGTGGAAGAACCACTAAAGCAGTCATAGTTGAAGACCAAACAAAGAGGAAACAAAGAAAAAGCTTCAATGAAGACAACAATGGCTGAGCTAGCTCTGCAACTTTGAGAGAAGAAAAGGGAAGTGTGTATGACTGTATGGGGCAGTGTCATAGAGAGAGAGAGCGCTTAAATTCGACAACATAGACAAGAAAATAAAAGATGCGCTGTGATTTTGATGGTGGAACGAAGATGACCTGTCGGCTACTTGGTTTAAATGGGATAGTCCTGCTTAATATATGTCTAACAAAATGTATTAACGTAAATATTAATATTTTTTAATATTTTTAGTAAAGTGTTACTTAAAATATTAATATTTTCTACGTTACTCAACTTTTGGTAAAATTATAACATTATAGGTAACGTCCAATATTAATATTTTCGGTAAAAAAATAATGTTTTAGATAACACTTTATTGGAAATGTTAAACATTATAGGTAGCGTCCAATATTAACATTTTCGGTAGAAAAAAAAATAATATTTTAGGTAGTGTTTTATCAAAAATATTAAAAAATATTAATATTTCCGGTAACGTCTTTTTTTAGACGTATATTAAAACTGTCGTATCATAGACATCTCCGTTTAAAGGAGACCAATATTATTGCTTAAACATATGGCTAAACTAAGTGTTTAGGCATCTAATTATTTATGTGATTCCTTTTTGGTCACTTGATTTTTTTAAAATCATTCTTAAAATTACATTTTGATCAATATCGTTAAAATATAAGTAGAAATGTTTATATGTTTTTTTTTCGATGATGATGTAATAATATCTTAAGGTGACGTGGGCTGATTTTTCTAGATAATTCTGCTGAGAATTTTATTTCGTAAAATAATGCACTCTAGGAATTATTATTCAAATGAGGTGATTGCTAAAATACACGTCAAAGATGCATCGCACTCCATGCGTTTCTCTCTTTTCCCCCCGAAGACGCATTGCACTCCATGTGTCTCTCCCCTGCATACACTCCCATGCATGCGCCCGTGACACTGCCCCTGCATGGCAGTCTGCATGCAATAATAACAACTGCAATAATAGCAGCAATAATGTTGCAATCACAAGTTAGCTGGGTTGGTTGGGTAATAATGGTGTTGGGTTGTTATTATATATATGAGTGTATGGAGGGAAGGGGCACCGAGGAGAAAAAAGAAAAACAGGAGAATGAAGAAAGAAAGGAAGAAGAAGAAAGAAAGGAAGAAGAAGAAAGTAAGAAGAGAAAATAGGAAGGAAGAAAAAGAGAAGAAAATAATCAAGTAATTTTTTTGTTGTTGATGCTTTAATCTCTTACTGAGTTTAAATTAAATTAGTTTCGTTTATAATAATGTTTATATTAAGTTGTTAATGTTATTAAAATTATTTTTTTCTACAGATTCGTTGAAATGGAAGAACAAAATCAACTACTTCATCTCGATGCTCAACATATTTCTAGACATTTGGGAGTGATAGTGTTATTATTATTTAATAAAATATTATTACTTGAGAAAAAATATTATTACTTGAGAAAAAATATTATTAGTAAATGGTAGAATTTTATTTTATGATTAATCATGAATATTATAATTGTAGGAAGACGAGCAGCGAGTCCTCCATCATTGGATCAATATTCCTGCTAAGCCATACCCTTTGATTGAAGATCACCTGGAAGAGACTAGATTTTTTTATGTTACATTTGTTTGGGAGTATAAGTTGGTCTCGGGTTTGATAAGTGCATTGATTGAACGTTTGAGGCCAGAAACACATACATTTCATTTTCCTTGAGGAGAATGCACGATAACCCTAGAAGATGTGACCCTCTAACTCGGGGTTCCAACAAATAAGATGCAGGTGATGATGAAAAATGATTACAATACCGTAGAAGCACTTTGCAATCAGTTTCTTGGGAAGAAAACAGTAAACCCATTTTTAAAAGGATAATGTTTGAGGCTGTCGTGGTTAGAGGATCAATTTCAATTCCAAGAAAATAGTACCCAAGCAAAAAATTGTATATGCAACTTGATAACTCCGTAAAAAGGTCATATTTGGGACCTTTTCACTTAAGTTATTGACTGTCTAAGAGCTCATATAGGATCATATAGATGAATTTAGTATCATATAGTTGCATGTGGCAAAATTCTGTTTACCGAGGTATTTTATTTTGTAATCAGTGCTGCTTTATGGGGAAGGTGTTTTGTTTGATGATGTGCAGGATTTGGGAGCAAGGATAAGCAAAAGGGAATTGCCATGACATGATGTGACTACTAAGCAAATTGTGATTGCCGCGACAACTAAGATGACGTTTCTGGGCAAAAAAAGTCAAAGAAGATATTTTTAATAAGAGCCAGCTGTCATTGACCATGCGTGATTTCTGTAATCAGCCATAAATGAGGGCCTCATTACCATCTATGCACTGCCTTTCACATAAAATGAATGAACTTTAGGGTACTTGTGTAATTTTAACACAAAACCCTAGGTTCATTCTCCCTTATAAATAGGAGATGAGGCCAAACTTTTTGAGGAGACTTGGAGAATTTAGACAGCCGCCAATAGCCTAAAAATTCAGAGAAAAAGATCTCTTTTTTTTCCGTCAATCTTTTTTGCCATGGCATTCCTCCGTTGACAAGCTAGAGGGAGTGGCGAACTAGGCGTCCGAGAGGATCTAGATCGCTGGGACAGTCCGTGGTGGCTGAGGGAAGCTCCGGCAGTGCACGTCGAAGGCTTTTCCTCCTTCCCTTTTCTCTTTGCTTTCATATTTTATCTTTTGGGTTATAAGGAACAAATTAACTTGTATTGTGTTTGCTTATTTCGAACCCCACCATGAACTAATCCTATTTGGTGGGAGTTTATTTTGGATATTTAAGTTTTGCTTTAATGAATGGTTATTTTTCTATGTTATATTCTGTTTTGTTTATGAAGCTTAGTGCCTTAAGGTTGTAAGAGCTACGAGAGTGGCCGTTCCTTAGGTGATTACTTAGTGTTCGAGAGAATGTCTAAGTAGCACATCCTTAGTATTCGAGATAAATTAGGGAGGAACCACATAAGCAAGGGGTTCTAGATAATAACTAGGCCTAATCCACCTTAGAGATAAGGCTAGGATTTCATTCGACTAAAAGGAGTTCTGTATGACCGATAGGTTAGATGTTAATGCTGCCGCAAAAAGGTATTGCCGAGACATATCCTGTTATCTAGACCAATAGGATCCCTGTAGTAGTTAACGCCAATCGGTTTTACCAGGGCATCTTCAATATGTCGAGTCCCTTAACTAGAGATAACATAGGGCACCCTTAGTAAACTCTGTCGGGCAGATAAGGTATAGAAGTAAAAACATTCTGAGAAGTAGACTTAAATTTCCTAAGTAACTCCTATCACTCATTCCCATAGTAGCTTTTCGTGTGAGTAGTCTAAAGTCCTTATAAGTAAATCCAGTATTTACAGTTTATTTTGCCTTTACATTTTTATTTGTTTGCACTCAGCACAATTCAATTTGCCATAACATCTCAATCTGCTACCATATTACCATCAGACAATTTCCACAACATTCATTCATTTTGCCACAATTTTCATTTGTAAATAACATCACTAACTTTACTTAGGTGACATAGTAAAGCGCTTTGACGGAACTTATCAATTTCCTCCAATCCTTGTGGAGATGATACTCAATTACCACTGTATTACTTGTTTGATTATGTATACTTGCACATATTTTCGCACCCATATTTAGTACTCACAAATAGCGGACAAGTTTTTTGCGCCTTTGCCGGGGATTGACAACTGGAATTAATTTGTTTTGTCAAATCATTTTTATTTTACTTGTTTATTTTTCTTTTTCTAGATAGTTTTACTTTTTATTTTCTTTATCTATTTCAGGTTTTTCACTGTGTATGACCAGAAGACATTCGAACGAGCCATTAGAACCGGTTGAACCTGAGATCGAGAGGCTTTTTAGGCAAAGAAGACGTGCTCAACATGCAAGTATGTATCAAATCAGAAATCAAGGCATTGGCCATGAGGATGATCAGAATGCTGAGGCAATTCCAAATGCTGGGAATGTAGCCAGACCTCGTGTCAATCGTGATCACTTAAACCCTATCTTGGATGACATAAATTATAGAATAGTGGCACCAAAAATTCTGGCAGCCCACTTCGAACTCAAACCTGTTATGTTCAATATGCTGAACTCCATAGGGCAATTTGGGGGCATGCCAAATGAAGATGCCAAACATCATATTCGTAACTTCTTGGAGGTGTACGATTCCTTTCGCCAACAAGGAGTGCACGAAGATGTCTTGAAATTAAAGCTATATCCATATTCTTTGCGTGATCAAGCAAGGGCTTGGTTGAGTGACGTTCCAATGGGTTTAATGGAGTCGTGGAGTGATCTGTGCAAAAAAGTTTTATTGCAGTATAATCCTCCGAACATGAACACCCAATTGAGGAACGTCATAGATTCTTTTCGTCAAGCTGATGATGAGTCGGTGTATGAATGCTGGGATCGATACAAAGGATTGCTTTGCAAATGCTCAAATCATGGTTTTCAAGATTGGACACAAGTGGTGATTTTCTATAATGGAGTTAATGCACCCACGAGGATGATGTTAGATGCCTCAGCAAATGGGACGTTACTTGACAAATCACCTGCAGAGGCATTTGACATTCTGGATAGGATTGCCAACAACGATTACCAATTTCCATATACAAGGCTTGGACTTGGGCACAAATCACATGGAGCTTTCGAGTATAATTCCAACAAGAGAGGGCCAAATAACATCCAAACTTTTCGTGGGGAAATCAAGGAACCATCAATACTCATCAACTAGTTCGAAAATAGAATTTCAATGACTCCCAGGGTTTTCAATCGAATATGTCGTGGCATAATTCCAACAAGGAAGGGCCATCTTCATCTAACACCAGTTCTTTGGAGGCCACAATGCAAGAGTTCATAGCAATAACAAAGACAATGCTGCAAGACCATGCAACCTCCATAAAAAACCAAAGGGCTCTGCTTCAGAGCCATAGTTCGTCACTGAGGGCATTGGAGAGTCAGGTTGGTCAAATTGTCACGGCATTACAAGAATGACGACCAGGACATCTACCGAGTGACATTGAAGTCACAAAACCTCATGGCAAAGAGTATTGTAGTGTGCTAACTCTACGG